TCCATTCCCGATCGTTACCTGCTGCCCCATATTCACGATTTGACAGCTACCTTGAAAGGTACAACTGTCTTTTCGAAAATCGACTTGGTTAAAGCTTATAACCAAATCCCGATGGCAACTGACGACATTCCTAAAACCGCCATCATCACTCCCTTCGGTCTTTACGAATTTCTACGAATGCCTTTTGGTTTAAGAAACGCTGCTCAAACCTTCCAAAGGTTTATAGACGACGTCTTCCGAGGTCTCAACTTCGTACATGCGTATGTTGATGACTGTCTAATAGCAAGTCCGGACAGAGAATCGCATCTCAAGCATCTGGACATTGTTTTCGATCGACTCCAAAGGCATGGCATTACTATCAACATACAGAAATGCCAAATCGGAACTAACTCCTTAGACTTCCTAGGACACACCATTGATGTCCAGGGCATCCGACCCCTTAGGAGCAAAGTGGCGGCCATTCTGGATTACCCAGAACCGACCACGATCAAGCACTTACGAACTTTCAACGGACTCGTAAGTTTCTATAGACGGTTCATACCTAAATGCGCATCCCTAATGAAACCGTTAACCGATCAGGTTCGTGGAAATGCGAAATCAATTAGTTTAGACGACATAGCCCGTAAAGCATTTTCCACAGTTAAGGAACACATCGCTAAAGCAACCCTGCTTGCTCATCAGGACACTCAAGCGCCCATTAGTATCACAGTAGACGCATCCGACTCAGCAATCGGAGCAGTCTTACAACAATGGGTTAACAACTCGTGGCAACCTTTAGGATTTTTCTCGAGACGGTTGCTAGACGCTGAATCTAGGTACAGCACGTTCGGTAGGGAACTCCTAGCTATGTATTGTGCTGTACGGCATTTCCAACATTCCATCGAAGGAAGAGAATTCACGCTTTTTACCGATCACAAACCTCTTACCTTCTCCTTAAGTTCATCTTCAGACAAGTACTCACCGCGAGAGTCTCGACAACTCGACTACATTTCGCAGTTTACTTCAGACATACAACATATTTCTGGAGCAAACAATGTAGTCGCAGACGCCTTGTCTCGAATTAGCTCCTTGAACAGTTTCCAAGGAATCGACCTTCTTAGACTCGCTCAGCTTCAAAGAGAAGACACTGATCTTCAGCATGAGTTATCCTCGACAACTCTTAAACTAAGTATTAGGCAGATGGGAACAGGTAAGGAAACCTTACTCTGTGACACATCTACAGGTAGGGATCGTCCAATTGTACCAAAACATTATCGCCGCAACGTCTTCAATACGTTGCACAATCTTTCTCATCCAGGTGCTCGTGCAACAATCGAACTTATGGCCGAACGCTTTTATTGGCCTGGCATGAATAAAGACGTGAGGGAGTGGGCACGCTCCTGTGTAAGCTGTCAGAAATCTAAGGTAATCAGACACAACAAATGTCCCTTGGGTTCTTTCAAAACCCCTGACGCTCGTTTCGACCACATCCATCTAGATTTGGTAGGACCCTTACCCGACTCGAATGGATACTCATATCGCCTAACATGCGTAGACCGTTTCACTCGATGGCCAGAAGCAGTACCGATTAAGGACATTACTGCTGAAACCGTGACCCGCGCTTTCGTCGAAAGATAGGCAGCAAATTTCGGCTGCCCTTCCACAATCACTACGGACCGCGGACGCCAGTTCAAATCTGGACTTTTCCATTGTCTGACCACACTATTAGGAATCACGCGCTTCCGAACGATCGCCTACCACCCACAAGCAAACGGGTTGGTAGAACGTTTTCATCGACAATTAAAAGCTTCATTATCAGCTTCAAACGTTTCACAGTGGACAGACGCTCTTCCACTCGTCTTGCTAGGTATCCGCAATGCAGTGAAAGCTGACATTGGATACGCAGCATCTCAACTCGTTTACGGAACGACACTCCGACTTCCAGGAGAATTCGTAGATCCTTCAGCTTCTTCATTGAACATGGATCTAAACTCTTACACAAGTAGGCTTACAAACGCTATGCGTTCAGTTAAACCTGCTCACACTCGACCTCAATCAACTGATGTTTTCGTTGAACCCGAATTACGACATAGTACACACGTCTTCGTTCGTCGAGACTCACACCGACGACCCCTCGGATCAGCATACGAAGGACCCTTTAAAGTTCTTCAACGCGAACCTAAGTACTATGTAGTCGATAAGAACGGTACGTACGATAGCATCAGTATCGATCGACTCAAAGCAGCGTACTTAGAAGGAAACCCTAGCTACGTCGATTTTTCTTCGGTACAAGCAAACGACACAGCTACTACACTCGTAGTACCATACACGACAACCGACACACAACTTGATACTTCGTCAACATCGATAAATAAACCTAAAACAACGCGTTCTGGAAGACGAGTAAGATTTCCAGAACATCTTAACGAATATTGCACGTACGACATAAGCTTTATCTTGAATTACCCTTCCATAGTTCATTATTAAAAAAATTTTAATATGATAATTTTTTATTTATATAAAAAAACCAAAAAAAACCAAACATTTTTTCGGAGCGTATATATATATATTTTTTATATATAAAAAAAAACAAAAAAACACTTTTTTCCTGATCGCTTTTACGCTGTTTGTAAGTGTATTAGTTTATTCTTTTTCCGCTCATCTTGTGTCCCTACGCAAGTACGAGTGTATTTCCGACATGCACTCACACGTTTTATTTTTCCTCTTTTCCAGGACGGCTGGAAAAGAACGACGAAGTTTCGCAAGGAACCGAAATTTTCATTGTACTATATTTCTTTATTGCTATGTTGTACATTTAGGTCCCATAGTTTAAGGAAAGACGACCAGATGCTGCTAAACGAAGCAAGCTATCAGAAGAGTGTTTACCAACGACAAACTCGTTGGGTTTAAACTTCTGGCTGGTCACGTCTTAGGGGCATCACTACCTCACTAGGGGGGGGGAGTGATCTGTAGCTGTAAATAATAATAATAAATAGTTCATTAAGTGTTCGACATTGGATGCTGACCACGTTGTTTAAGTGGACTTGTTTAGCTGAAGGCTTTCGGTCATGCATCCGCACCAGATCACGTTTCAAAACGGCGTGGGACACAGCTCCTACGTTTCATTAGCCAGCTCATAGAAAAGGGCCTCGATATATTGGTAACGAATCAAATATATCTTTCCTGTCTCTTCTCGTCTGACTTCTGATTTCTATCTGACTGGGAACGATCAAATATAGAAGGTGCTACTGGTAGCTAGTTGTAAAACTAGAACATCCGTTGCACCTTCAATGTAGATAAACAATATTTTCCAAAGTCCAATCTTCTTGGTGGTAGAAAATATGACTCAGAGGTAAAATAACCGAACAGTAGCTTGATTGATTCCTCAGATATTAATTATGTCAAACTTACACGACAAACCAAGCTAAGATTGACGATCATCACACAATTTGCAAGCACACTAGTAGCTTCACCTACCTTGAGACAAATTGTACAATATATAAAACTGGCTACGATGTTCAAATGTCACTTGGCCAAGGCGAGTAATCTATGGACTGGAAGGATGCAACTGTCACTCGAACACACAAAACAGAACTATAAACCTGTTAGTTTCACCAGTGACGTAGTTAAGATAATGGTAACAATAATCAAAAAGCCATAATGACACTTTTGGAAATCATCAAGCTGTTAAACAGCTAACAACATGGTTTTATAAAAGGTTTGTCTTAAACAACAAATCTCCCTATAACAAGAGAGAAATGAATGGAGTCTCAAGACAATGGAAAATCAGTGGATGCTGTCTACACAGACTTCAGCAAAGCATTTGACAAGGTGCCAACAAATAAACTGCACTTGAAGCTGGAAAAACACAGATGCGTGCGCACTTCAGAAAGTTAGTTGGTTTAAAGAGTGGCTGATACTCATAAACGTGGCGAAGTGCATTTACACGCACTTTGAGACCACAACGGTAAATAGGTACATCATAGTGGAAGTGTTGTGTAATGAACAAGAACACACGTGCAGACATCCAACTGCGTTTTAACACAAAATTACAAAATATCTGAATTAAATATGAGAACTATACACTGAATACTCCATTTTCAATTTTCTGTCATTTGTCCTTCACACTTTGTATGCTTCCTTAAGTTCACAATTCCTTTCTATTTCCATTCTCTTCAGTCCGATCTGCCGGCCATCCAACTTTTGATTAGTGTTACATACTACTTATGTCTGTCGACATTAGTAGCATAAACACACCTGTACCTGTAGCGCAGTCTCATAAGGATCTTGTGGTGAAAGTGAGCCGTGATCTCGCGACTAAGGCCCACTGCCTTGATGTCTCCGCTAGGGGGTTTAGAAACTTGTGGGCTTTGAGTTGGACATTTACTAATATGTTCACTAAAGTATACACAACTTTAATGAGTTTTAAACTTAAAAAGTACGTTTAAGCTGCAAGCCTCCGTTTAAAAGTTGACTCTGAAATCTTGAAAGTATTAAAGAGGTTAGCCGCCGGTGCAACTTCGGAACTTCGGCGTTCACTATACAAAGAGTGACTAGAAAAGCTAGACCTCTTTACTCCGTTCCACCACAGATAAAGTGGTGATCTGATTTTGATGTATAGAATACTTGGAAGTGATTTCGGACTTGATATGTCCTGTCTCTTTCTTCAACTCAGAGTACATAGTAGGAGAGTGGAAAAGCCAAGGACGAACAAAGGCTTTCACACCAAGCCAGCATCCTATGGAACATGTCAGGTGAAAAATTGATACCCCTCCCTTTAATAGCCTCTAAACCTAACTAGAAAATGACATGAAACAGGCCGAAGGTCTTCTGTTTTCGATACATATATCTGAATTTGAATCTATAGTTAATTGAGTTCAGAAACCGCGTGAATTGTAATTGTCGTTACGATTTGGTCGTTATGTCCGGACAAATAAGTTGTTTCGAGATTTGAGGACCCGTGGCTAATTTCCAGTTCTTCAAACTTTCAATCTAATACCAACTATACATAAATCAAAATTATGGGTAACTCTTCCAGTGGTCACAAGCGCAGACCGTCACTGGACGACGATGTCCTCTCGGGCGTTCTTGCTGGTAAAAGATATGTATATCAAATGTCACATGTAGGTTCATATTTACACAAGAGTATAAATTTAACTAACTTCAGGACACTCCTGCCGAGGATTCCGTGATTAGCTTTGTTACTGGTAATTCTGCCGTTCATGCTATTGCGGACCAACTCCGTGATTCCCGACTTTATGACTCAGGTGGCAAGCCAAATTTATTCGTTGGAGGATCGGGTCCAGGTCTTGATATTTCAGAAGAAAATCAAACTGTTCAGAGTGTACCAACTGTTTTTAAGTGGGATGGAGGAGGAAAAGACGTTTACATAAGTGGCACATTCAATGGTTGGAGGTCGAAAATCCCGATGGTTAAAAGGTTTGAAATGCATAATATTATGTAAATATTAGTAGTCTAATGCGGCTATCTATCTTGTTAGTATGCTTGCATATTTCAAACAGTCACTTCATCGTAATCAATGTTAAATTGGCACATTTAAAATAATCTCTTATCAAGGCATATTGAGAATTCGCGATAAAAGATATGTCACAGTTGACCAGAAACTACATCACAGAGCCAGTCTCAAATATTAGATACAACCGATTAATGGTTATGGTCCAATTAAATAGTTTATTTCTACTGACAAGTCTGTCGGTGGTTACGTATGCCCAACCACCGACTGCCCCGACGTGCAATGCTTTATAGTGTAGGAGCAGGTTGGAAGAAAGCTAGGGGCGGCCAAACCAAAACGTGGCATAAATACATGAATTCACTGACAAGTGGAATGAGCCATGTTGGTAGGTGTAGACTACCTGGTTGGGATTCACGAGATGATAGCAACCGATGGTTAGAGACCTTGAATGACATGGCTCAAAATCGTTTGCAATGGCGAAGGTGCATCCACTCTTTGTGTTCTCCCAAGTTCTAATCTTCTGAATTCCTCATGTCTCTATGTTTTTCTCTTTCCAAATTTATTTCACTGTATTATACTACTTCAATAACATCTTCAAACCCTTATCTTTCACATAATACTTATACTCTTAGTCAGTCAGCTACAACGTAGGACCAGGCACATTTATGCATCGGTCCAAGTTGCCATACCTCGTTAGCACAACAAGATCAACACTGGATTCATAGAAGTAATTAATTTAGTGGTGGTAGTATATCAAGAAAGGTTGTATATAAGGATATAGTACAGGAAGGAAGAGAGATATGAAGCAATTTTAGTCTCAAGGTTTAAGGGAAGATAAAGAGTGTATACACCTACGCCATTGTGATCGATTCTGAGCCATGTCACCTAGTCTCCAACCACTGATTACGATAGTCACGCGGACCCCAACCAGGTAGTCTGCATCTGCCAACATGGCTCAGACTAGAAGTTAGTGACTTCAAACACTGATGCCACGTCTTGGTTTGGCCACCCCTAACTCTCTTCCAACCAACTCCAACACTAGTCATCATAGCGCGTCGTGGTAAACGGTGTTCAGGCATACGTAACACATGGCCCAGCCATCTCAGTCGATGAAGATTCATCACCTCATCAACTGATTTACCATTGTTCCCTAATACCCTGCGTCTAACCTCACTATTACTTACCCGGTGACACCAGCAAATGCGAGCAATATTTCTAAGGCATCTGTGGTCAAATACTAGTAACCTACGAGTATCTTCTACTCTTAATGACCATGTTTCGCAGCCGTAAAGTAGAACAGAACGAACTGCTGCGCAGTATACTCGTCCCTTAATTGATAGACGGATATCTCGTCTCGACGTAAGTTGGCAAAAGCCAAACGAGCTTTTCGAATCCGTGCTGAGATTTCGTCAGACTTCCAAGATAAATGAAGTTGTCCACGCGTTCGACTACTTCACTCCCTATCCTTAGTTCGGGTGTTGACGCAGGCCAGTCCTGGAGTAAAAATTTACATTTGGATGGGGAGAAACGCATCCCAAACATCCTGGCATTATTACTGAGTTCCAACAGAAGACTCTGCATTTTGTCAGCGTCTTCACCAAACAGGACTATGTCATCTGCGTATTCTAAGTCGATTAGTGGTCCCCCTGGTAGGAGATCAATTCCTGAAAATTCAGTCGACGAGAGTGTTATTTCCAGCAACAGGTCTATAATGAAGTTAAACAAAAATGGGGATAGTGGACAGCCTTGACGGACACCACTTGAGGTTGTAAAATCATATGACAGTTCGCCATAAGCTCTCACTCGACTGGTAGTGTTTGAGTAAAGAGCCTTCACAAGGTTTATGTACTTCTCAGGTACACCTTTCAATGACAGACACTGCCACAGAACCTCTCGGTCTACAGAGTCAAATGCTGCTTTCAAGTCAAGAAAAACTATCATTGTCGGACGCCGATAAACATGTCTGTGCTCTAAAATCTGACGAATGGTGAATATGTGGTCGATACAGCCACGACCAGGTCTGAAGCCAGCCTGATTTTCTCGTGTTTGGAGTTCACGAGTCTTAGTTAGGCGCCTGATAATTATTGAGGCTAGTATTTTAGATGCTATGTTAGTCAGACTAATCCCTCTATGGTTATCGCAGGATGATTTTGACCCCTTTTTATATATTGGGACAATCAGTGATTGTGACCAGTCGGGTGGGATTACATCCGTCTCCCAGATTTGGTTTAGTGCAGGTGGTCGCCATGTTAGACGATGTCTCTCCTTATGCTTGAAATTAGTGCTTGCTAAAAATAAACGATTGTCTGAGCATGGTTGCAACAGACGATCACCATTATCGGTCCGTTGAGTCGGAATACTAAAACACCCACCTAAATGTCTTTCTGTTTGATTCAAGCTGCCTACCTGGGCATTAAAGTCACCCGCTATGAGTACTATGTCTGAGCGCTTAGCTTTCTGAAGAAGCTAAGAGAGCTCTCTGTAGTAGTAGTGCCTGTTCTGCCCTTGTACTTAGTGCTATGCCTACACCTGCAAGTCCACGAGAACTAGCCAACGGGTCGCCAGATACACGGAGGGTGTATTTCGTTGGCTGTCCATTTTGACGAGGTGAGGTCAAGTGAATGACCACACTGGGATCCTGTATGCGTGTTTCGGAGACACAGCATACATCAATGGTACGAGATTCTAGGGTTTTAGCTAAGGAGGCCTGTTGACCGATTTGGCATAGGGTACGTACGTTGAAGGCTCCAATGTGTAGTTTGGAGCGAGGTTTTAGTAGACCTGGGACAGTATTTCGCGCACTAGAATCGTTGGCCATGGTGACACTTGAGGAGGAAACCGAGAGAGGAAGTTTAGTGTTGAAAGTCAAGGTAGAAGGAATAGTAGGAATTGAAGAAGGAGATTGATAATGAATACAGTGGTCTTGAGTGCTGTTAGAGGTATGAGGGCAGTTATCACTTCCCGGTTGCCCACACCGTGGAAAGGTTCTTCTAGGGGTACCTGAAAAGAAAATTGGGTTAGAATTGGTCTTGATGACCTGAGAGCGTGACCGCAGTGCCCAAGGAACAACTGCTTGAGGTCGGTCACACACGACCTTTTTGTGGGTAGTTTTTGTGTTAGCTCCGTTCTTCAAAGGTCCTTACCGCCGGAGACGGATATCCGTGGGATAAGGCGAGGTGTGTATTTTTAGGGTCGACCTTTTCTAACCCCACCCCTCCTTGTGGGAAGGCAGCATCTCTGTCATGCTGGTTGTCTGAAGGAAACACCTTACTGCTGTCACACCTCTGTACAGTCATTAGTACTACTTCGCCTTCGGACCTTGGGTTTGCTGCTTTTAGTCTCACCGCTCTTCAACCGACCTGTCTGGCATGGTAGGACCTTGAGGAACGATTGTTCCAGCCAGCATAGCTCGATTGGATCATCACGATATGCCAGCCCGACCACCACGTCAAGGTAGCAGCAACAGTCGGGTATACTCTTACTACTTCTACCAATATGGGATTTGAATCGACAACTTCATCTCTGTGCTAATGTAGTATGGCAACTCGAACTGATGTACGTACGTACGAAGTTCTACGTTGTAACTGACTGACTGACTGATAAGTCTGTCCAATAACCAGTAAATTCATGTTCCGATGACGTATTGGTTTGAACTTTGCTAACTTACTCCACCCCACTCCTACAACAGCCAAGGTTGGCAGTTGTCGGGTTTACATATTAAATAACCCCGTAAATCCATTCTCCGTCTTTACCCACCACCTGCCTCTAAATTCAACATAGCTCATTTCGTAATTTCAACGTACGCTAGCAATGGTCCAGAGTTACCTGTGAGCGAAAACCAGGGGCCAACTGTCTTCTGTTACCGTAATTCATGTCTCTTAGTCATAGAGTGATACAGATCTGACTACCGCTTAGTATTCTTACCTGTCGTTCGGCAGATATACATCTATTTGTCACAATCGACGTATGTGGGTAGGAAACAAATGAGTTTCCGAAAGCTGTGATATAACTTCGTCGGATGCTAGAATTAATAAGACTTCCAAAATAAATTGAGTATACAACTCATTGAACCTGGTCATTCTCTAGTTTAGACGTCTCGACAGACCAGTTCCGAGGTAAGAGATGGGATTCGAAGACAGTAAAACGCATCCCAGACATTCAGGTAGAGAGCTTGTACAGGTTAATGTATTACATCGACATGCCCTTCAGTGACATATTACCATAAAGCCTTCAGATCAACAGTCGAATGCCACCTCAAAGTTAAAAAATACAGCAACTGTCGGGCGTAGTTGGTTTCCTTATGTCTTCGAACCTGATGAAGAGTGAATATCTGGTCATTTCATTCACATCTTTTTTTAAGTTTACTGTTTCTGAGATCTAGATTACCGTCAGATAATTACACTATCTAGTGATTTTAGTTAAATTGATTACTCTGCAGTTACCACAGGAGGATCTCTGTCCTTTTTATGATCTGGAACGATCAGTGACCGTGACAGATTATATGGTGCTACATTCAGTTTACAGACTCCAGCTAATTTAACTGGATGACTATCCTCGAAAATCTCCAAAGCTAATCCATTGCAGCCACCTGCTCTCTGCCGCTCCGTGCTAGTTATAGCCTTTTCAACTTTATTAAGAGCTGGGGAGGTTATTTTGACTTTCCATTCAGTTTGTTTAGCAACAGTTGGGAACTAGAAGGTAGTTGGAGTTCAGGTAAACTGTTTCCATAAGTGTTCCGCCCATCGTCCCAATCGTCTGGGCTGAGTGGATCATATTTTATTTATTATTTATTTAAACACATAAATATTGGTACAAGGGGGCACCAGATATATATGCGGATCATAGCCTGTTTATTTACTATTCGGTCTCACCAACACTTGCTCCCCACGGGGTTAGAGCTACCAACACCAGTATCACGGTCAGAGATGTTATCAGTACGCTATCAAGGCACCCAATGACATATGATTGGGGGTTTTACATTACTTGGTGTCCAGTCTTTAGCACTGATTAAATTCTGTCGCACACCTGGAATTCTAAAACTCTTGTCTAAATGAACAATTGCTCTTTGAATGCTATCATTCGATGACTTATCTGATCAAGCCGTTTTTAAAACCATGTGCCATTCAAGCTTACTGGCCCAGATAATTCCACGTCGCGCATTATTTGCCGACACTGGAACTGGTTGGAAAAAGTGGAGATATGACCAGTGTATGACATGGTGTCGTGACATTAAAGAAAGCTGTCCAGGAATGGCTTCTGTTGGTTCTCCACGTCTCCCTGGTTGAGGTGAGGTCCTAGAGATGGTACAACACAGTGGCTTGAGACGTTATCATATATGGCTCAGAATAGAAGCCAGTGGTGATCCTGCTGTGTCTTTCTTATACTTTCTTCATAAAAAAATGGACGTGACTTCTTTGACTGGGAGAATTCTTTCTGGTAGTACTTTTGCTAACTGAACTGCATTCTCCCATTATTACTATTTCACTCACGCACTAATTTCTGTCCGTTATTGTTCTCCTTTTTCTCATACGCACTTTACATTTTCTATCTCTTCACATTCTCATTGTTATTTTGTGGCGAATATGTATTTGGTGCCTTTTTGTACCAATATTTTTGTGTTCAAATAAATAAACTTTAACATTTGTAGTTTGACGCACACTGGGCAATAGTCAGACCAGATAGACTAGATGTATTATATCCTATACCTGTATTCAAAAGTTCAATTAAGTCTTGTGATTCGAGGAGAAAGTATTTGTTTTTTGGAATGACATCATTAAGATAATTTTGAAAACTGTTTTCTATAGGAGGGTAAGGGTAAATACAATTATGTCATTGTGACCGACTGAAATATGTCACCAAACATCTTCAAACACTGGTTACTATAATCTTCCGAACCTCAACCAGGTAGTATAAACCTACCTACATGGCACAGTCCACTTATAACTGGCTCCTTAGATTAATATTACGTCTTGGTTTGGCCAATTCTAACTTTCTCCTAGCGTGCTCCTATACCATATGAAGTAACCCATTTATCTATATACAAATCTTGTTTATAAACCGTGAAATCATGTTTTTTTTATTTTATGTTTATAACAGCTCGAGTAAACATAACTTTTATACGATCATTGATCTTCCTCTTGGTGAACATCAGTACAAATTTATTGTTGATGGGCATTGGAAGCTAGACCAAAACCAGGTTGGTCATCAGTGTTTCATTTCTAGAACTAATTAAGTTTTATATTTGTTTATTATTTTCATCTCAATACGAAACTACTTGATACAACGAAATATTTGGAAATGTGCCTCAAAAAATAACATGACAGTATTATAAAATAATCAAATCGAAAATTGTGTAAGAATAAAAGTGCAGATATATACAGCGGAAATAAGTATATATTTACATTATAATTTTAGTTTCTTAGGTTTACATCTTAGTGTCTGTATGAAATACTGAACGAAACTCCATCACGATCACCACTAACATCGATCCACAACCAAATTCGATAGTATTCCAAAACTACGTTGTTATAGTTGTAGAGATATATCCAAGGTGCCATGATTCCTCCAATCTCAGTGTCTGTAAATAATACTTACTATTTGGATGTATCTTCTGATTCTTCTCTATCATCTCTTAGATTAGACCTATTAGCAAGTGAGGGTATGGTCCACTTAAAGGATTATCTGCTTCATTTTATACCTCCAAATAATATCATAATAGCAATTCACAATGAGTAATACCGATATATTTACTTAATCTTCTAAATTGTCCAATAGACGTTTATACATAGTTAATTGAATAAATGTTAAACTCGATAATAATAAAAATAATAGCAGCTCTATTAAGTTAAATTTTGTTACAATAAGGGATTCTCATTATCCATTGAGCAATGTCTTAATGAACTTCTATTTAACAGGCAGTCCAATTTCAGTTGCTTCATTTTATGAACAGTCTTAACAGTTTATCACTCATCCGGAATCGTGAAATTTTCTTGCCAGTCTAGCTGCTACTAATATTCTTTCCATCTATCATATGTGCGATGCAAGAATTCCAGTACATTCGTCTCTAGCTTTTTTCAAAAGATAGTTAAGGAGGAGAATATGCCAACAACTATAGTATTTTTGTTTGAATTCTCCCGTATTTAACATTTCAATAATTCGTAAGCCTGTTATAATAACCCGTGAATACATAAAATTTACATTCATAATTATTTAGCTTTAGTAAATCTGGAGCAGGAAGGTTAATTACAATATTTTCAATCGGAAAGCAAATGACCCAAACGTTTGGGCTCCACTACGTTACAAAGCTAAAGTAATTCATCATTAAACGTCTAGATAATCTGACTGAAAAAATATCAAAGAGAATTTTGAGCATACCATTATCACCAAATACAACGTATAAAGAGGGAAATCTATCTTAATTTCGCATATCTATTTAACGTGAATTTTGTTCAGTCAACTTCAACTCATTTTGGTCATATTAAATTATGCAGACTGAATTCCATTCATTGACTTCCACTGTATTATCAGTTGTAACTAGTTATTGAATTCCCAATGCATTTTTGTTCTGTTTTGATTATTTCACTATGATCATGTGTTCAGTGACACTTACTCAGTTAATAAAATTATGTAATCAGTAATCATTGAATCGATATGTAACTGAATTAACTTGAATGTAAATTATTCCCTCTGGGGCTATCGATCAGTAAAGTTTCTATACAAATTAGACTTTGCCCTCTAGTTACCAGGCCGAGAAGAAAAGGATAGAAGTAGCCTCATTCACTGTATTTAAATTGGAGTAGCAAAATAGTTGCTTAGCTCATTAACGTATCAGAAAAGAATTAGAATAATTGTAATATCTGATTATTTCAGGAAATGTGTTTACGCTACTGTGAATGTCCAAAAAATATTTTCTACTCACGAAAAATATAAATTTACTTGAATGTATTAGTGTAACCTTATTAAAAATTCATTTTCTTAAATACATGTAAACAGAAAACCTTATTAATGGATATGTCTAAACTGAAAACCGAGATAAATTTTTTGCTTGTAAAAATGTGTACCAATTTGCATCGTTTAGGTTCAAATAAAAGCATACAAAGTATTCTGCCTGGACCTTTGTTGAATACTATCTTTAAGGACTTCGCTTTATCAATTTCATCACCTAGCAGTTCACAATTCAGAATAAGAGATAAATATATATGAGGGAGAAATAAATGTAGCTTATAATTATTAATATTAACTTCTTTCAACTATTTTTTCTGTGTTGTCATCTACCACCAAATTAATAAACTGAAAGTGTTAAAGTATCTTCCGTCCACATATTATGTAGCGGTTACATCTAACCGAATATCTTAATCATATAAATTCATAATTTAGTTGATCTTCTCCATCGCCTCTCCTTAGTAAGTTTACGGATTTCATTTTTGATATTATTTTTGCTCGTTTAACAATTAGTCATTGTCTTCGTGTATACTGTTAGGTTCATGATAAAATTGTTCTTATTAATTTGAACTGTGTTGTGGAACTATTGTCTTTACTTTTTCACTGTTAGAATGCGATTAAAATGTTGACGCTTAAAAGGCTTTTTCAATATATACTTTCGAGTAAGCACTGATATGTCATACTTTTATAAGTGTACTCAAAAATTCTAGATTTTAATCAATATGACTAGTAACGGTGAGCCTTACATTCGACAAATTTTCAATAATGTTGCATCTGTTAATTTATTCAAGTGTATTTTGTGTTTTTTTGTAAACGAATGAATTAAGATTATTTATTGATTTTAACACGTTTGAAATTTTGCAGCCTGTTTTTACTAGTCCGACCGGTGTTCAAAATAACGTGATTCAAGTCAAAGAGTCGGACTTTGATGTGCTTACTGCTCTATCTCATGATATGGCGAATTCTCGTGGTAGTGAAGATCGGTCCTCAGTCTCACAGGCTATTCCATTTCAAATAAATGATGGAAAATCTGACGCCCCAGGGGCATCAGAAGCGGAAATTCCCCATGTACCAAGTTCCGGGTCTGGTTCACCTCCTGGTGAATACAGCCGTTTTATTCCTGCTACACCGTTAGAAGCTTTATCCCCGCAAACCGGGAGTGGAGGGTCATTACCTTCACCAGCAGTTCATAATAATTCAAATGATCCTAAGAAAGCATTAACGCCTCCGTTGTTACCTCCACAATTACTTCAGGTAACATTTTGTCATTTTTTAAAGTGAATAAATGTATTGGTCAATTTAAACTACACAGTACCCTGATATATAACTAAAATTTATCTAGTGGTACATTAATATTGCCTAGTTTAAAATTAATCAGTCCACTGCCACTGTGAAATACAAGATTATACAACCCAGATTCAACATTTATACAGTTAGTTATAAGTCAGTGAACAGAAAACATTTATCTTTGGTAAAATTAAAGGATATACCCGTAACCTATTAATCAACTATATATATGATCATTTCTGAAAGAATTAAGACAATCGATTATGAAAACTACTACTCGTTTGTATGAATTGATATTTCTATACACGTGTAGCCATCACTATAGAAAATATCCCAATTTTTCAGATAAACTTAAATAAATTAGGCCGTATCATAAAAAAAACTGAACTAAGTTATTCCAGAAGTACATCTATATATGTAGTTAACTAAGTGGGTCCTATCGATCTCAACTCAATAGCCTGACGATAGCATGGATTGATGCTAAAGGCGATCCAAAGGCTATGATGTCGAGGTGTTCGCCAAATAGAACCATATGATTTTGAGATGGTGGAGAAGATTTGTAGCTCAGGTGGGTGATTTTGATGTAGGTTTGTTCTCTGAGCTAGATGGTTTTGTCGTGGAGCTTTCATCGACCTTGTGAACGACACCATCAGCACCCGAAGTTTGTGCTGATGATGTCGTTCAGAAGGACGATGAAAGCTCCACGACCAAACCATCCAGCTCAGAGAACAAACCTACATCAGAACCATATGATATCCATGCTCATTGTATGTTCACTCTAACGGATAATTTAAAACTCCGTCTTCTTCCATCCACATCTGAAAACGTTTTAACCAAGATATACAGGTTATGATTAACAACCTCTGAAATTAGATTTTTGCACACAAATCGATCCCAACAAATTAGCAATCAATTTCTTATAATGAATGTCTATTATGATCCTCTAAAAATGTTGTAGTGTACGAAATCTGTAAAATAAAATCAGTCGATCTTAACTTTGATATTCGCCATTCAGACTTATACATTATACTATAGGAAAAGAGTTACTTATCTTACATCTTATTTTTAGGTAATACTTAATCGGGATACAAATGTCCAATGTGATCCAAATTTATTACCACAACCAGATCATGTGATGGTCAATCATATGTATGCTTTGTCTATCAAGGTCAGTGTTATTTAAAACAACATATTTTCCGAAAAAATAAACAATTGTTTTTGTATTTCAATTTGCTTTTATAAAATAAATAAATAATAATAAATACCGTATCTATACACCCTCTTCAGTGTGTTGTTTCACGTATGTATGTGTTATACACTATTAACTTTGTTTTGTTTTCCCGATGTGTACACATATATCCTCATTAGTTGGTCCTCTACTATATACTCTCCTTTCATTCCTGGAATTATTCATTATTTTTGATCCATATCATAATTTAATCGGTTTCACTCTTATTCCTCCGTGTTACCCATAGTTTTATTTGAGTAACTAATTAATTTAAGTCATCTGTCAAGTAGAATACATATTCATGTGCTCTACTTGGATGAAACTTTGAATTATTAGGGCTTTTTGAATTCTCATCGTATAAACATTTCATTATTAACCATTGATGGTATCACTAATAATACTAATGTGGTATGGCAACTCGATGTACGTACGTACGAAGTTCTACTTTATGATTGACTGACTGACTAATAATTCTCCTCCCGCCAAACATTTGGTCTGATTTTTAATTACATTATTATTTCTCGCATCCTATGTTACCCATATTTATTCTGACCGTTAACCTCACAATTCCATTTGACAAATAAACTTATCCAAGTTAACGTTACATATCAGTCATCTCAACATTAACATTTTTATTTTCATAGTTGAAAACGTGAGTCAATTGAAGCTAGACCACCATGGAAAACCTGGAAGCACTGGACGGCCGTTTCGTCCTATTATGGGACTCCTCAGCAGTGCGCATCCACGATCCCGCACTCGCGAGATTCGAACCCAGGACCTACCAGTCTCGAGCCAACTATGAAAATACTAAATCTCCAAAAAACCCTTTTGATAATTAATATAATCATATACTTACTAGTGACTGACTTCGCGAAGTACGTCCAGGAGTTCTAGTGGGAAGCAGTAATCAATGAAGTTCAACCCACGTCTGTCGTGAGATATCAGCTCACTGAAGACAATTAGTGAACGGTTGGTCAACTTTGTGGATCAGTTGAAGCTAGACATTAACACCGTTGGATGCCGGCTCAGTGGTTTATCGGTTAGTTAAGGGCTCTGACTCGGGACTGGTAGGTCCTGGGTTCGAATCTCGCGAGTGCGGGATCGTGGATGCGCACTGCTGAGGAGTCCCATAATAGGACGAAACGGCCGTCCAGTGCTTCCAGGTTTTCGATGGTGGTCTAGCTTCAATTGACTCACGCTTTCAACTATGAAAATACTTAATGTCCACAAAACCCCGTCTGATAGTTTTTATTTTACAAACAATCCCAAATATACACGCTATAATTTTTAAAGCAACATATTCACTTAGAACTAGGCACCTTTTGGATGATTGATTTGAATATATAATTGTTGGACCTGAAAAGATGATGAAGGGAATTTCATGGAATTCATGAGTTAGATTGTGTATATTAGTAGATTAGACAAAATCTCAATCTCATTAAACTTCTAAATCACAATAAAGTTATATATATTCCACAGGTAGTCAGATAAGTGAGAGAAAAACGTAGAATGTTCTACACTTGTTCATATCTATCCATCTCATCTATGTTCAAAATAATACAACTTATAGTCAAGATCGTTTTTTTTCAATATCTATTTTAATTGTCAATTAGGTAATCTACAATATCTTACACAGCTTCATCCAATAATTCATTGAGCTTGTTGTTTGCTGTCATGTCTTTCATATCTATTCATAATTCAATTATCGTGCTCGCTAATTTGGTTGGCTGGTATATATGTAGATCTTTATCAACTAAGTTGAATTTCTGAAACTTTCACATTGTGCCGAAACTCTGATTAGCCTACTAGATAATCTCATTATAAATATTTGAATACTTTTACAAAAAAGTATCAATTACCCTGTCATTTCAAATAAATTTCGAACCATTGGTTGGAGTGTGTAATAATACTGGAATTAATTACAATTTGTATTGTGAAGTTGAACATCTTCATGAATTACTGAAGATAATATTTTTTTAATAATGATAATTATCCAATAAGTTCCGGCTTAAGATTGATGAAAACATTCTACCAAACCAGTGGTAATAAGTTACAACTTTGAATCCGCCCTTTACCTATTTCACTTTAGTTAACTGGGTGGTTATACTTACCCTGACAGAAATGAGTACTCGTTTAAATAAATGGGTTATCTTATTACTATTGTTTATGTAAGGACGACCCACGGGTGAACTCAATGAAGCTCTAAGATGCTCAGAAATGAGCCAAATACATTCTCTCCGATGATCTTTTGGAAGAACATTGCAGAATCTCGACGTGTAGCTTCCCTGTTGGACAAAAGCTAAAAACCACTGTATACGAATTGGATGACTATAATGATGATTTCGCTTTTCCCAAAAAAAATCTATAAATACCTGAGAGTTTTGTACCATATTTGACACTGTTAGAATAATATTCCTCACTCGTCTTCTGTCTTCTCATTTGCAACTGGGAGGTTCTAGCGTTCGAGTGCTCAAGTAGTACTAGATATAACAGTTTATGAATAGTTTTTAAATATGAACTAAACCTAATCAACTTGAAGGATGGATACCGTGAGAGTTTAAATCGTTTGTTAACTTTATTTAATAATTCAATATATATATATATATATATATATATATATCCGTTTATATTTCATTTTCATTCATTTCAGGATGGTGTCATTGTTCTCTCAGCTATAACACGTTATCGACAAAAATTTGTCTCTACTGTATTATACAAACCGATATAAAAGAAAAATAACAAAATGATAAAGGAGAGAGAGAGGAGGAGGAGAAGAGAGTATCCAACTATCTTACAAATCACTATAAATACTACTACTACTACTACTACTACTACGACCAGTACTACTAATATCGCCATCACCATCATCTTCATTATCATTATTTGTAAATTCAATCTAATATCTAAATATTGTCAATATAAATCATTAACTTTCATTTATCATTATTTTATTACTATTATTATTATTATTATTATCATCACTATTATTCATGTTTACCATAGAAAAGAATAAAAAGTGGCTAAAAAAGGAGGCAATTAGTCAATGATTGAGTCAGTGATAAGTAACTTATTGTTCAAAATTCTATGAACATCATTTGAAGAATTGAGCTTTATGTGCACATGATGCCAATTCAGTTTTTGTTATCTTTGTTCATTCAATCATAATTATCAGTATATTTTTTTTTTCATGTTATTATTTTTTTCACAATTTATTGTTACTACTATGATTATTCTCTATTTTTCTTGTTGATTATGAGTCTATTGAATTGTTTGATTAATTAATTGATTAATGAACTTTTGTTTTAGTGAATACTTTCATTTACTCTTTCCCCTCTTCCTCTTTTCCTTCTGATAATAAATAAATCTTGTTAAGTGTTTATTAATACCTGTTATTGTTACTACTACTACTACTACCATTATCGTTATTATTATTGATTCATTGTTCAATACTTTTCTATGTGATACTTATACTGTATCCCTCATTATTATCATCAATGATCGTATAGATGTATGTATCATTTAAAAGGATGACAATCATAAATTCCATTGTTATTAAATTGATTGGTTGATTCACATATCTTATAGCAACTTTTTGTCAATGAATCTCTTTTATTGTTTCTCATTATACTCTCACTCTAGTCTTATTCATGTCTCATACTCTCAAATATACCTTATTATAATGGACAATTATCGTTTAGTAAGTCAGTCTTTGAGTTCTTTTTTTTTCTATAAAGTTTTAAATCACTATATATTTCCTTCTTACCAAGTGCCTATATTTTCATAAATCTTGATATTAAGCCTAGTTGTTTATTTTTATAAACATCAGTACACACACCTGCAGTCTTCATTGTTACTGTTACTAAAATTCTGTGTGTGTGTGTGTTCGTAAAGCTGTTCATTTTCCATTTCTTATCTCTTACTCTGCCGGTTCTAAATGATGAAGAAAATAAAATGCAACAACATTTCTGGAGAGAAGATATCAACAGCAACGAACCAAAATTTAAGACTGCCCAATGTATTCAATGTGAAATTTATCTTGTTCAAGTTTCCCTTATTTTCTTCCTCCATTTGCATAAATACATATGTGTGCAATGAAGCGAGTAGCAGCCAAATAATTGTGTAATAAACTACTTTACTAATTCCTCACCACCATGATTACTACCATTTACATATGTAAAGAAGAAGTCTGTGATTTATAGTTGAGAATAAACTTCATCAATAAGTAACATGTAATTTTTCTAAATCCACGGTACTTTATCAAAAATTCCTAATTCCAAAATTAGAACAAATTAATGCAGAGAAACGTGCGGTCGACTGTTATTTATGATTTTGATTTATGAATGACGTACATTATGCAAATGAAATATAAGTTTACAGTATACAACAGTTCGTCAATCTCATATAACTAAAATATTTGGCGATAGAAGATCGTTTTGTATATTTATAGTTAGTTGACTTTTAATGGCCCATGATCTGACTCCAATTGGATTGTGTGTTGATTATCATTGAAATATACATGTCAATCCTCTTACATAATTATCGACCTAACTCGCGTTAGTGAATAACGGAATTAAATAAGTCAGACATGAGCGTGGATTTCAAATACGTGTATTTCATACAATCGTTGATCCAGACAAATGACCGCAAAAGAGAAGAGAGTGAAACGAAATGATGTGTGGTGGAGAAGGCATGTAAACCAACTCAGGTTAATCAAGCGTTAATCGATATTTATTTTCAGACAAAAATATGTCACAGACATGTGATAAGTAAGATAAGAAATGCACACACATACGCTTACATAAAAACAGGTTGATAAACGAATAAGTGACGGTAAAAATGTGACTTGAAAAGAATGAATTGATTTATCTGTCCAGAGGATAGAATAACCTATGTAGGCTTGACATAGTACAAGCACCTACAGACTTATTTCAACATATAGTTGAAGGATTGACAATAATAATTATGGAATTAATTAAAATTCTGGTGGTAGTAACAGTCGTATAACCGTAAAGAGAATACTACAACTAATCAAAATGCAAGGGGAAGTTATTGGAAGGAACAATGAGGTAAAATCATTGTTTATTAGATTATCTGTAATTGACTCAAATATTTATTATGATAGCCAGAATAAGGAGAACGGTATTACAAACTTATCATGGACACAAAGGTTAGGTTCAATGAGATACATAGGATGGTGTTCGAGTATGTGGTGACGTACTTGCCTAATAGTGCACTGGGGAACAGTTAAACTGCTAAATTTACATAAAGGAGGCTAATTTTGGAGGTCAGTCCTTATTTTTGCTTCTAGTATTTGGTTGCTTGTAAATGAGGGCATTCAACTTCACTGTAGTGTATGCTTTTGTAGAGCTTTTCTCAACCGTTATGTTATTAATTCACTAAGAACGTCATTTAAGAATTGTAATTCTAGGTACTAATGGTCAATATTAAACAACAGAATTATTCATTATTTGAACCTGTTCATCTACTTGATATAGAACAAATAGGTGGCGGTTAACAATGAAATCCAGGATGCACATTTCGTCCTATTTGGGACCCTTTAGCCAGATGTACCTGAATCCCAAAGTAAATCTTCATGTCGAGACTCTAATTCAGTGCCGTTCGCTCCGAACGCCATCGCGTTATTCACTTAACTACTGAGTCTAAATACCCACCTACTTGTACAATCGGTGTAAATTTTAATTCCATTTGAACTGTTCTGGATTATCTAGTTGGAATTCGGACTAAAATTTGATCAGTCTTGGTTGGCGTATGTGTATCCTTTACGGATTACCTCTATACAGCTATTATGATACAAGTTGATATAGAACAGATGGGACACTGGTCAAGCTTCAGTCAAAAATATCAGTAACGAGGTTATCCAAACCATCTCAAACTGAATTATTCATCTATTTAATTGTTAGATTTAACTTGTATACAAATAGTTTGTCTGACTCATGTATGAATACTTAAAACTTCACTTTATCAAGAATATTCTGTTCAGATTAAAACAATTCTTTTAACCATCAAACATACAACTAGTTTTTCTATCATCGTCAATAAGAACATGAAAAGACTTATATTTTATTCTGATTTAGCTGATAATCAGTAATCTAAATCAGTAGAAAATATTAATCAAATCAAAATTATCTAGATACTAGGTAACTGTCTCATTCCCTTTTTTAGACAGACTCCGTGAAAAATGTTTCAGAATTGAGTCAGTTAGAACTGAAATCGTTTAGACAACTCGTTGTCAAACCTTGCAGAAACGTTTTCTTGTATTCAACCCCTCAAAACACCTAGTAAATAATGCTTCCAGGTTTGGTCTGTAAAAGAGATAACTACATCAATAACGCTTGTTTGCTATCCCAATTCCAACCGCTTGTAACATGATACTACTAATTATTGACAACATTTTCGCATTTGAAATAAAAGACAAGCTGGAAGTATACGAGACAGAAGAAAGGACAGGCTTCCTTTCTGTTACAGGAAATTAGGTACAATCCGGTTTTACTATTTATTCAAATAATCAATAAGCGTATTCTTGTTTACACAAAAGATGAATACGATTATTTTACTTACAAAAAATTTTATACAACTCAAATACATACGTCGTTGCAAAATTTGTGCTAATTATAAACATTCACCAACAAGCAACACGGACTTGAAGAATTCACAAATCAAACTCTTTGGTCAGTTAACCGAACAAATTAATAAATTTTTGAAGCCAACCACTTGTAAAAGTGATACATTTTCCCTACTATTTATTAAGAAGATATACTTGTTAAATACCTGCATTACACGTAGGATTCTGAAGTCTGGGAAAGATCGCATTATTTATATTTATATGAATCAAGGTTCCATTAAAGACGCCGTAGTTCTCGTTCACTTAAATTTCAATCTGGCAAATACATCATCCATCTGATAATGAATTACATCAATGTCAACCCAGCACAACTTATTAAATATTGATTTTTGTTAGTGTGGACTACAAATGTATCCGTAAAGGATATCCTTTCTAAGCTTCTTTTCATGTTAATGCAAATCATTTTCAAGGTTATAGGTATTGGCACATTGTTTATTTGTATACTTTATAGATCTATTTTGACTAATACATGAACTACTCACCGAATAATTAGTAATTCATTGCGTTTGTCAGCTAAGTTATTTGGAATTTGTGCTGCATAACATATTCCATGTCTCTAAATAACGGAACACAACATTCTGCAAACATTGTTTTAAATATTTCTTCTAATAAGTTTCAGGTCTCAGGGTGAGAACGTCGCAATTAAATCACCGACTTCAAAGCCAAAGGTCAACCTTGTTAACTACACGTATAACACAATGTAACACGACAACCATTCAATACAGACGATGAAATATGTTTCAGTTCCAACTTGCTTCTATCCCACCAGTATTTTATGTGTCTCAGGGTCATTAAATGTGACCATAAAAAAGGAGTTGTTCTTTATCAAATTTAATGTCTGTCGAGAGTATAAAACTATCTTGAAAGTTCTATATTGTCTATTACCGTGTGTTGTTGCATGACATGCATCTAGTTAGATCGCATTAAAAAAATCCTCAACCGTTGTTAAAGAAAAGTTATTGTGGACCAACCAGGAACCCCGATACCTTAGTCAATATTGTTGAAATTTAACAATAGTTAACTCTTGTAACTTTCTACTAGATGAATTAGTGTATATATATTGATGGGATGGCACACACTATTAA